CCACTTACGCTCCCGAGTAGATCTATCTGCCGAAAGTTTGGCCAACAATTCCTTACTGCTATAAACTCGCCTCTCTTTAATCGAAAACAATGCATCGTGCGTGCCGCGTATCTAGCTCAGCAGTTTATGCGTGGTTGGTCTGGCCGTTCAGCTTGCTCGACGTGAGCAATAAGCTTTGCTTTGATGGCTCAATGTTTTATTGATCCACTTCAAGCAACGAACCCCCCCCCCCCTCCACCGTCCGATCCATTTTGGACCTCGGAGGGTTTGGGGGTGTCTTAGCTCTAAGTCCTTCACCGCCCAATGGGAGACTTTCGTATTCCTTTTAATGCCGTACCAATAGGTATTAACCTTAGGTAAGCTGGTAAGCTTGTGCTTACTATGGACTNGGGGGGGGGGGGGGGGGGGGGGGGGGGGGGGGGGGGGGGGGGGGGGGGGGGGGGGGGGGGCGCATGGCCTCTATTGTTCAGGGGGGGTTCGGGTACTGGTGGGGGTCGGGTCTATGTGTACTGCATTCTCGAATTGTCCCCTCACTGTAGCTACTGTGGATTTTCAGTATACAGCTATCCCCACTCAACGCGTCTATGTGTCCGGCAATCTCAAATACAAATCAATCCGTGAGGTTTCAGTATGCAGCTTTCGTCACTCAATGCGTCTATGTGTCCGGCAGTCGCAAACGTCACTCAACCCGTTAGGTCTCAATATGCAGCTATCCTCACTCAAAGCGTCGATGTGTCCGGCACTATCCAACATCACTCAACTCGTGAGGTTTCAGTACGTAGCTATCCCCACGCAGCACGTCATGTGTCTGGCAAACTCAAAAACCAATCCATCTGTGAGGTTTCAGGATGTAGCTATCGNCAACATCACTCAACTCGTGAGGTTTCAGTACGTAGCTATCCCCACGCAGCACGTCATGTGTCTGGCAAACTCAAAAACCAATCCATCTGTGAGGTTTCAGCATGCAGCTATCCCCACTCAACTCGTCTATGTGTCTGGCAAACTCAAAAACCAATCCATCTGTGAGGTTTCAGCATGCAGCTATCCCCACTCAACTCGTCTATGTGTCTGGCAAACTCAAAAACCAATCCATCTGTGAGGTTTCAGCATGCAGCTATCCCCACTCAACTCGTCTATGTGTCTGGCAAACTCAAAAACCAATCCATCTGTGAGGTTTCAGCATGCAGCTATCCCCACTCAACTCGTCTATGTGTCTGGCAAACTCAAATACCAATGCATCTGTGAGGTTTCAAAATGCAGCTATCCTCACTCAACACGTCTATGTCTCCGGCGATCTCCATCACAAATCACCTGTGAGGTCCAGTATGTGTCTATCCTCACTCAACGCGTCTATGTGTCCGGCACTCCAACATCACTCAACCCGTGGGGTTTCAGTATG